AATACCAATTCATCTGTGCAAGTGTAAGTGCCTTCAAGATAAAAAACAGAAAAAAAAAAAGAAAAAAAAAAGGTTAAGAAGCATACTGGAATAATCTACCTTACTTTCTGTCACTCTCACCACTGTTCTGTGGGGTTTTTTGTTGTTTCTGGGCTGGACTTTGAAATGACTTTCTGGAATTTTACACCATTTGGAAAATGCCGAGTTTTGGATTCAATCCCTTTGCAGACACGATTGTTTTCAGCCTTTCTGTATAAACTGAACTTCTTTAAACTACTTGGCTACTTTGAGACGAGCAGCAAGAAAAAAAGACGCTTTCTCCTATGGTACTGCCTGACTCATGCCATTGTTCCAAAGCATGGAAGGTCAAACCAGCCACTGGTTGTGGGGAAACTTGCTCTATCCGCCCTCGACTTACTGCATTTGTGCCTGAAGAATCCGTGCAGACTTCGAAAGGAAGAGAACGGATTGCATCCTACGTTTCGGTTTAAGCTCATCTGCAGCAATGTAGAGGCTAAAAGGTGTTTCTCCGTGACTCCTAGCGTTGTGCTCAAGTTTGGGCGTTCCACTGGAAATGCTGTTTCCCCTCCCAACTCATATAAAGATGGTAAAAGCTGGAAAGTTCTTCCCAGAGAGTTTTTGTTGGCAGCAGCAGAGAGGAGACAGTATATGGCAGCCTGACTAGTAAAAGACAACACAGGGTAGTGACAGTGCTGGAAATTCTGCAGAGAACACATACCACCAAACTATCCTAATTTAAAATCACAGGTAGGAAAACTGGGGCGCCTAAAAGATAAGCAGCTTGTCCAGAAATGCACTTGGAGGATGCCAGAGCAGCGGATTTCTTCACACAGCACACAACAAACGATAAAGACAAAAGGAATGATTATGATTTAAAGGTAATTTTTAAGTAAAAGGAATTATTCCAAATAAAATCTATATTTTAAACTTCTTAATGAACTGAACACCACGGCTTTATATACAATGCTTTTATTTACTCAAGTCTACGCAGAAGACTTCACTGCACCTTCAATCATTGTTCTGATAAAGGCTCATTATGTATGAAATATAACTTAGAATCATAGAATCATGGAATGGTTTGGGTTGGAAGGGACCTCAAAGACCATCCAGTTCCAACCCCCCTGCCATGGGCAGGGACACCCTCCACTACACCAGGTTGCCCAAAGCCTCATCCAGCCTGGCCTTGAACACTTCCAGGGATGGGGCATCTACAACTTCATCTGGCTTGAAGATGAGCAAAGAAAAGCTTCCTTAATTAACTTCTTTAATCACCTTCATTTAAACTCAGAGATGATCCTTGGAGGATTCAATGTACCATCATTAAAATTTGTAGACTATTTTGTCTCAGGCCCAGCAGTTTGGACATACGACGGCGGATGCCCGATCTAAAATGCACGCATCTGCGTCCTCATCCTTCACCAAATTACCCGACATTTGTTAGCAGACCACGTCAACGTTATTCTCTTCAACTCTTCCAAACGCATATATAACATATCAAAAAATTACCTAAGCACAAATCCTCTGTGGATTTCTAGAAACTTGCTTTAAAAGCGCCGTATGGTTCTCCGTGTCTTGCCTTGGCTCTCCTACCCTGGCTTCTCATCCCTTTCTAAACTGAAAATTATCAAGTGCAACGCTGCACTGACAGTGAGTCATGAAAGTAGGATCATCTGAAATGAATTGTGCGTTTCCATAAGTCCAAATCTTTTTGACAGTTATTTAAGATTAATTTCAGAAAAATCATTGTCTTTGCGTAATTTTCAGTGTATAAATTGGGTAATAAAAGCCTTCCCTTTTCAACTTCCCCTCCCTCAGTTTTGAAAACTGTCATAAGATCTGGATCAGAGATGAACGCTTTCAGCTGCTTGGAAAAACGTTAGTCACAGAAATCTCTCATTAAATAAGCAGTGCTCAGCCTGGCAAATGGTCTATGTTTGGTTTCTGCAAGCAAAAAAAAAAAAAGATTTTGACTTTGCTATTTCGGGATTACTTTACTGTTACAAAATCCCACATTCCATGCACTTTAATGTGCTATGCTGAAAGTCTGCCTTCACCAGGCTCAAAATTTCATCATCTATGCTTATAGTGACCTAGATCCCAGATATTTTCCTAAACCCACCACCCAGTGGATGAGATGGTTAAGCTACAGTACAAAATAACTTCTGCCATAGCATGGAAAACTCACTGGTTTTCATCTTTGGATCAAATTCTGCAACAGCTTCTTTTTATTCGGCAAAATGTTTTATATCCCAGAATCTGTCCGTCTGTAAGGCTAGGCAGAGAAATTCTATGGCGTTACATTGCCTTACAGCTAACATCGCATTTTGAAGAGGGATTTTCACTGCAGCAAAGGAAGTCTTGTTCGTTACGGGTTTTTGAAACTTTTGTCAAGGCTCCCGTTCTCGCAGGACTTGCTAAAACTCAAGGGTTCAGGCTTGCCATCTGGTGGCTTTGGGCAGAATTAGAACAACAAAGTAGATTGATATTTTATTTATATTTTTTTTTTTGGTGCTAAAAGACGGTTGGTTTAGTTTATGGTTATGTTTGAAAATCAAGAAATTGTTCTGGAATTGTACCTGGAAAAGAGGATTATTCCCTCCATATAACCATTAACGTCACACGGAAAGAAAACGGAGGATTAATGTGTGGCCACTGAGCCTCCTGTGCAAACAACAGCCAGAGTTACTGAGTTTGAGCGTGTGATGGACTTGCACTGGCTGGGGGAGAAGGTTACTCTGAGGACTTTTCATATCCAGTGTATCTCCTGCCTTACGGCAGTCCTGGAAATCCACGAGACAACCCAAGCAGCGCGCATTCTGCATCTGCCTTCACTAAAATAAAATAAAATTGTTACCTGTTTGCCAAAAAAAAAAAAAAAAAGGCTAAATAAGATTCCGTGGGGGCTGCTAGGACCACTGGTTTCTGTTCTGTCATTAAGTACGAGATAGAAATAGCTCAGTCTAGACCCTCCCGAGCACTCTCTTCCAGCTGAATGGCCTAATCCGTAGGTTGCAGTACGGCTCCGCATCTTACGTTCTGTCTAGTTTCATTTATTTTGTGCTCTTGGGTATAAAGGAATGCATCTTCAACAAAAGGAGCGGAAAAGACTTCCCTGCAAAACAAATAGAACCTGTTTCAAGGGAATTCTCTTCAAAAACACAGACTCAAAGTCTTCAGAATTTAAAATTGTGTTGAACTAAAATTCTCGAGAGAAAAAACAATTCCAAAGTGTCCATTCTGTGCAGGGAATGCAGAGCAGTACTTCCCGCACAACTGGAACACAGGGAGAAATAAGCCTCTCTCATCGTGCGAGTTTTCTTTCTGGAATTACCACCTATAATAAATCACTCATCGGAATTAGTTGAGTAGGTTTTTAATAAAAGATTGAACTACTGCCTGCCATAGCACAAATCTACGTATGAGAAAAATCGCACATCCTAAAAGCAGTCTCTAAATTCTGCTCAACCCTCAGGACACCAGCGTGGCCGAGGTGGAGTAGAAATACTTAGAATATTTATGAAATGCTAAGAAAAAGGTAAACTACACAGCTGGGGAAAATGACATCATCTCATCAAGGAAGTGAAGAAATATTCATTGTAAATCTCTAAATTTCTTTACTTTAGAAGCCAAAACCCCACTATGGACTAGAGCCTGGATAACGCTGTGCCTTTCAGTAGCTGTCCTAACCTGGCTGTTATAGGTGTTTCTTGCATGTACCAGGATTTCCAAAACAAAGATTGTGGGAAAAACAGAGTACACAATTGCAAACGACTGAATTTGGTACCATCTTCTCCCACGCCCTCAACTGCTTTTTTTTGGGAGGTGGATAGGGAATCGTATTTAATAAGTGGTTTTCAAAAGTGATGCACTGAACAGACACTTAGGCTTAACAAGAGGCTCTCTTTCCTTAAGTACTGATGCCATAATAAAAATTTACTAGCACTTGACAAGTTCTGTGCAATTTTTTAATGCACAGTTTATAGCATTCATCAATAAAAAATAGCTCATGACAAAATCTTTCATTTCCTGAATGTAGAGTGGAACATTGATTTAAAAGATACAAACAAGGAAGTAACAAAATGCACCATCATTAAAGTATTTCCAATACCACCACCTAGGAGGTATATATTGACTGGGTATCATCAACTTAAATCTTACTATTTTATTTCCATTTAAGAAAAATTAAACTTCTAATCTGGAAACTCCCCTAACATTTCATTCTTTCAGCTGCCTGCAGATAAAATACTTGTAAATACAAAAGAAAAAAAAAAAGAGTTTACAGTTTCATAACTAATATTATATAGGATATGTATTTACCATATAAAAGTTGACCCTGTTCCTTTAGGAACTGGATGTATGTATTTCCTGGCTTTTGCACTCCAAACCAAAATATTTTTCTCCACAGAGGATGTGACTTTTATGTCATGTTTACAAAACAAAATAAAACCAAACTTCATGCATTTTGAAGACCTTTTCGTACACTTTGCAGTTACTCTTCAGTGAGAAAACATGGTCCACTCTGCAAAACACTCTGCAAAACCCTTGCAAAAACACAAGAAAGTAGTACTACAAAATACAATTACGTGATCTCTTGATCTTAAACTTTTGAATCTGCTGTAATTAAAAAAAGTAATACTTGGTATTATATTTCAAGATAAAGAGAAGCCAGTATAAAAGGTCTGGACCATCACTGAGCACTTTGAGTCCTTCCCAGTTTCACACTTGTTCTTTCAGAAGCAATAAAAAATAGTGCCTTTGCGGCAGAAGTATCAGATCCAAAGACTGAATTTCTATTGCTATTAAAAATATAAAACAAATCAAAAGTATACAAACTGATGCATGGATACAAAGTCAGTGATTGAGAAAGAAGGATCAGAAGTCTGCCCACCTTTAATAACTGCAACAGATGAAAACTGACTTTTAGCAAGGAAGTTTTCCAATCCTCTTATTGGCATTTGAAATAAAGCTTTTGAAAAATACGCTGTAAAATGTATTAAGTGTTTATTGATGAATGTTTTGAAAAACTAGATTAGGCATTCCAGGTTTTTTAAGGTGTTGACAATCTGTTTTACAGATGCGTAAGTAACAGTTTGTACCGAAAATATGTCGTTTTCAGCGTTAACAGTACAGACAACTGTAAAACCGAGGAGCATCACACGCAGTCTGCAAGTTTCTTCCTTTCTTCGAATTGTTTGTCTACTGCAAGTGAAAGACCCTGAAGAAACGTTGTCATTGTGACACTGGGGGCCTGAAAATGAGAGAACATTTTGTTAGACTCGCTACAGCAAGAGGCACACATAGTATTTTACGTATGAATCACAGCATTTTAAAGAGAAACATTTGACTGCCGTGTTACAAAAATTTTCAAAATGCTAGAAAATATAAACCTGCAGGGTTATTTTAAACCAGCTAGCACAGTAAAGTCAAAGTCAAGCTATGCAAAGTTTTGAGTCAATCACTATTACTGTGGACTGAAAAAGGTTTTTAACAAATTAGTGTTATTTATAAAGTGGCAGAGGGTTTTCTTTCAGCAAGAAGTGATCAGAGAACCAATGTCAATGTCCTGTCACAACATTTAAATAAAAGTAGAATGCTGTTGGACAGATCAATCCCACCTGTCTTCCTCAATCTCGCTTTAAATTACGGGCAGCACAAAATTGTTTCAGTTTACAAAGCTACAGAAACAGCGCAGTTTAGATTAAAAGGGGGGTTTAGGCCCAATCTTCTACTTCGGGCAGTGTCCAAATGTCTTCCCACATCTCAAAACCAAACCAAAATATAATGAATAAAATAAACTTACTTGAATGGAATAAACTTACTTGAATATAAAGTGCATGTGCTAGGAAAGGAAGTTTTCTCAGGACCCGGCCACTAAGACCTTCACTTCTTCTACAGCAAAACAGAGAGAAGTGCTGCTTAAATGCTAAATATCCACTCTTGAAAGTTTAAGACCTTTCCTTTTCTGTGTTTCTTCCGTAAGTTACTTTAAAAAAAACACAGATCATGATTCAGCAGGTCACTTGCAGCACTTTTAACAGAAGCAGGAGGTGCAAAGACAATGTCAGCCCGTGGGAGGCTGTGCAGTACGGAAAAGCAAGGGGACAGAAACAGCCCAGTCACGTTTGCAGGCTGGAGCTCCACGTCGCTGTGCTGCATCTCATGAATCTGGGGGAACATCTACCCTGATCTAGGTGGTCCTGCTCCGGCAGGGGGACTGGACTAGATGATCCTTTGAGGTCCCTTCCAATCCCTGACATTCTGTGATTCTGTGTATGGTACAGACATAACCTTCCGTCCACGCTTGGAAAGCACCTGAAAAATGTGTTTTGAAGGCTGGACCTCACGGCCACTGCTTGTCTCCTTCTTCCCACCACTTACGCACAGCTTCCTTTATCTCACCTACTCGACGTATGTTTCCATCTCTTCCAAGCACCACGCTGTGTATATGGAACCCCAACCCTGGGAAAGCTTACTTGCTTTTACTCCACTCCTCACTGGTTAAGACTCCACACTTCAGGAACAGAAGGAAAACACACTTTCCTGACTTTATGAATGTTATATTTTATTTTGTTCTATAGGGACCAGCACTTTGGAAAAAAGTATTGCTTGATATTGTGAACATGATTCTTATTGTTTCAAGAATTGTTATGCTGCTGTGAAGGACTATTTGCTCTACCAGCATACTCCACAAATCCTAACACTCTCCATTTACACTTCATTCCTTTCCCCTTTGCTTGTGTCTGCTTCTACCTCGATGCTAAAAACTGCCTTAGTAAATTGCAAGGCATTCCAAGATGCTTTCTTAGCGGGCACTAAGGCCAATGCCATTTCTGCTAAACACCATCACAATGCACAATATCCACTGAAGTCTAAGGCATCTCACCAATCCAGTCAGCAATTTGTCCAGAGGACTTCAAAGAGCAGAGCAGAAACCAGAAGCAGTACAAAGCCAAGCCAGATCTGAGATTAAGAAATGTTGGCAAACCCTTATCGCTTCCAGGTTTTTTTCCCTGAAAGGTTCTGCACTAACCCTAACAGAAAAAAAAATTGAGACGTTTCAGAACTCCAGCTGTTGTGAAATTAAACTACTTTTATACATCATTCCACAACTCATTTTTTATATATATACACACATATACATATATAAAACCCACAGAATTTCAGAATCTTACCTTGAGATTTCTTTTAGTACGAGGCTTAACCTGGACACATTATTTTCTACGAAGCCTATCATCTCTAGTTCTCTAAGTGTCAGAAGCTGCTGTCGAGGATATATTATTTGACACTAGAAAGAAGAGTTATACACTGTTGCATGAAAAACTTAAACACATTCAAAATTAAATTCTACAGGAAGAGTGGAAATACAGAGAAGGAATGAAGATTGTGTATTTTTGTTATTTAGGAAATATGATTATAAAGTCAAATTAATTAAAATGGGACATTTTACAGTCTTGCTTTCAAAATATTACCTTCATCAGTTCTTCCAAGCAAGAAAGATATATTCTAAATATTGCTGCAGTGGATGGAGGTCCAATGTATTGCTTTATGTCAGCCCTGTCTACAAAGGCCATGTCAATTTTCTCCGTAATATTTGAAGTAGTCAGGATAACTACATTGGGATACCTTCAAGATAAAAGCAGATTTTTAGTCACACGTGCAAGAACTGTCTCCTTTTGTGACTGGCAGATTGCTGCCTTCTTTCTTATGACTCAAGCCATTCCGTGCCACAAGCAGTCATCACAGCACTCTTGATACAAAGCTCTTGGCGAGTTATCAGCCATAGCTGATAAGCTGGTATTCCAAGTAGGAACTGAGATTTAGCAGGAATCCTGCAACTCTCAATTCGCTTTTGCTGTTGCAATAAAATGAGTTTACCTTTTAATGTGATCGATTTGTGTCAGTACAGCATTCACCACACGAATAGCATCCGAAGGCTCGGTGCCTGCCTTGAAGGCACTGCGGGCTGCTGTGAGGCTTTCCACCTACAAAAAAACAAACCAAACCATCAAAACACAAAGTATCAACCTCAGTTCAAGAAGGACAAGGAACTGCTTGACAGAGTCCAGCGCAGGGCCACAAAGATGATGAAGGGAGTGGAGCATCTCCCTTCTGAGGAAAGGCTGAGGGAGCTGGGTCTGGAAAGGGTGACTGTCATGAGGATGGAGCCAGGCTCTTCTCAGTGGCATCCAATGACAGAACAAGGGGAAATGGATATAAGCTGGAACACAGGAGGTTCCACTTAAACATGAGGAAGAACTTCTTCCCAGTAAGGCTAACAGAACACTGGAAGAGGCTGCCCAGAGAGGTTGTGGAGTCTCCTTCTCTGGAGGTGTTCCAAACCCGCCTGGACACGTTCTTGTGAGATCTGATCTAGGTGGTCCTGCTCTGGCAGGGGGATTGGACTAGATGATCCTTTGAGGTCCCTTCCAATCCCTAACATTCTATGATTCTATCACCAAAAAACCCACAAAAGATTGCACACTGGGAGTGCTGGCAGCAAGCAAATAACTCGGACAATACACCTTCAGGTCCTTGTGTCTGGCATCTAAAACTTCATATTCAAAATCCTGCTAAGTAGGAATTTACAGGGAGAGGGAAAGGAATGTCAAGGAAACAAAGCGCAGTGACTGAAATTCCTGTTTAGGCACCGGAATGGAGGCTGTTTATCATCTGAATTACATGTCAGGGGTGGGGACACACACAGCTCACTGCCCAGAATAAATAATACATTGAATTTAGAATGAGCTTCTCCAACACAACAAAGCTAACGCGGTACACAGTTACTGAGTTGTTGACGTGTGCAAGTCTGAGAGAAGCTGGACAACCAACTGAGCCATAATAGTGCTTTTTAGAGCTTCCCAACGGACCTAAGAGCAGAATTAACATAAATCCAGGCTACTTTGAAGTTTAAAACAATACTCCACTTGTAAACACGCAGCAGAAAGGGGGGTTCCACCAAGAAAGGTTTTGCTTCGTTTTCACTGGAATTTGCCTGCTAAATCATCCTGTGTTCCTCCCAAACCTCTCAAATCTGCAGCAGTCAAGATTAAAATTCACTCTTCTGCACTTTTAAGTTATGTAACTTACAAAAAAGCATAAATATGCTTTTATTCTTCTTTCCAAATAAGCATTATCACAGTTCCCTCCCATCGGTTTACTTTTTGCTACATTTTATGTACATCAGTGCCACTAGAATCGTACCTCGTCAATCAGGACGAATACAAGAGCATCTTTGTCATCAATTAACTCTTGAATCTTCTGGAACATCTTGGTTACAAGCTTGCCACTCTAGAAAGACACCATATACACATGTTTAACTATTTTCTTACTTATCACACAACTTTCCAAGCCTTACATTATTTAAAGACGGAAATATCTGTTTTTTTCAAGTAACTTTCTAACATATCCTCTATTTAAGTGTTCTCAAACACATTAATTATTCTGAGTAACGTTTGGTGCACACACTTATTTTATGAGACAAGTTCAACAGAAACAATGCAGTTTCTAAAACACAAAGTCTACTTCATTAGCTACATCAATACATACCTCAGAAAACCATTTAGAGAAAAGGCTATGGCTGTTTATCTCAATTAACTGTCCATACCTATACCTAAAGAACAAAGGGAAAAAGAAGTATCAACTCTATTGTAAATAAAAGTCAGTGATATAACTTCCATAAGTCTCATTACCTCCATTTCAACTCTGAAATTCTGTGAATTAGTACTTCAAATCACTTACTTTTCAAAACATAACACCTGGTTTGAGTTTAATTGTCATTTCCAGAAACGTGTCTCACTGGAATTTGTTGTATTAAATTGCTATCAGGATTCCTTCATTAGACCAGGTGCTACTTAAACATAGTTCAAGTAATAGTTACCGTGCTCACGGCCTCCTCCTTCTGCTCGTGTGAGATTTTGTTCAGTATAGCAAGAACACATACAAAAGCATGAAGCTCAGGCTTACTCAGCTCTGCATGGATATCCTTAGGACAAAGCAGCTCAACCACAAATTATATATAGCCCATGTTTATATTAACTTCAGCTTGGGCTAGAGTCAGATCACTCTGATAATTACACATTATTTATGTTACACCTGGTATTTTACACCGCATTTATTTTTTATATAGGTTGCTATGATGTTTAAGGCTAACTCTTACCACTTGTCGGATACACAGACTGGTCTCTGCTGACTGTGGCATTCAGACAATCCAAGTACAGAATAAATTGGTTGGAAAATCACTACCTATTACAAACGGGCTTTCTTGCACATGAAGATACAAACAGCAGGCTCGATACCCTGTGATCCTTTGTCCTCTAATATTCACTGATGTACAGTGTGAGCACAAAGAAATGACTACATCGCCACTGGAATTTGGTTTACATACCTAAGCACAAATAATTGCACACGTTAAAAGGCATTAAAATATCCTAACCAGTCTCTCTATCAGGTCAATTTTATTGCTGGCCAAGTGCACTATAAAAGAACTATGAACATTAGCACTTGGCACCAGTTACCTGCAATCAAATATCAACTATCTTTGGGCTACTGAACAGTCAGCTCAAGTGAAAAACTTCCAAAAACAGTCACCTGTACGACAGTCGAATTGTCAACTTCTGAGCCAACGCTTTACAGAGAGAAGTTTTCCCAGTTCCAGGAGGGCCTGGTTTGAAATCAAATCCATGCATTACACAGAATCTGCATCAGATCATTAATGACACGTAACATATTTTAGCTACTGTATTTCATTACAGCACTAGCTGTACGATAAAACCACAGCAGACAGTGACTGTGAACAGCAGGGTGTTTTGAGAAGGTTGCTTGTTCCACTACAGTCCTAGGCCTGAGCTTTGAATTTACATAAATTTGCAATCATTAGTGTAGTTAGTGTAACAGCCTGTATGCAGACACCGTAAAGTTAAAACACTCAAGAGCCACAGAAGCAAAGCGCAGCATCCTAGCAGGGCTGATGCTTATCAACATTTCCAAAAATCAGTGCTATGCTTCAACTTCCACCTTCCTGAAACATACTCTCCTAACGTGCAAACCAGAGACACATCATGCCCAATTTGATCAGCTGTTCACCTTCCCAGAAGTCTCTGCCTTGGGGTAACCCAGAGCATCTTAGGAAGCATGCTCTGGGACAAATCAGAAGTCTCAACCTTAGGAAGTATGCTCTGGGACAAACCCTTTGGATCTGCCTTGAAACCCTACGGAAGAGCCACACAGACTTTCTCCAGGCAGACAAGTACCAGCAGAGTTAAACAGAGTAGGAATGTATGGAAGATGATGTGTGGCTGCTAACCAAACTGGTAACATCAACCAGATGACAGTACTGGATTATCCAAAGCCAGTACTGCCATTACAGCATAAACGTATTTTGTACTACAACAGTCATCGATTTTCTGGTGTTAACTCCTTTGTGATGACAATAATGAGCTTATTCCTACAATTAAATGTATCTAGCATAAGGATTATCGGTCTGAAATCAAGCTTTCTCCACAAAAACACCCTGCAGCTTCTCAACTGACAAACAGTTCTAACTGAAGTACAACCAACACTCATGACAAACATTTCCACGATGATCTTTTCTTTTCAAATACTGGTCTTGATAACAAAATTGATAACAAAATGGTATCAATAGCAAGCTGCATTTTGCAAGAAAATGCATTTGGCTGATGTTGATCTCAATCCTGGTAAGCTAGGGCCAACTGAGGGCTACGGCTTCTCCGAAACAGTAATGCCTACCCTAGCGAGAGTGCTGCCTTCACACTTGGCAACAGAACACACAGTGCCAACAACACGACACACGGGTTGATTTCCCAGGTTCCTCTAAAGTTTTTACAAAGCTGTAACTAACAAATTTTTTAATACGGTGACTAATACACGGCTCCTCGTGTCTGCACTGTTTTTGTACTTTATACAAAAAAAGCAATAATGTAACTTAAAAGTGAAAATTATAAAATCCCAACTATTGTCACTGCGTTATAAAATTTTAAAATTTAAATTCCTGCAATATACAGTACATATGAACATTGACTTGATTCGGACATCATAAAATCCCAACTATTGTCACTGCGTTATAAATTTTAAAATTTAAATTCCTGCAATATATAGTACATATGAACATTGACTTGATTCAGACATCGCATTTCATCTACGTTTTTATTATGGAGAGAATACTTCTCTGCTGCTTTTGGATCATCTAAATTTCACTACACGGAAGTGCAATACGAGTTTTTCCAGAAGGGAAGCATAAACAGATAGCCAATGAATACACTTGGTTTAAGACAGATCATTTTTACCATGCAGCAAAACAACTCTGTTCCACGATATCAGGTTGCTGTCAACGTTTTTGTCAGAAAATAGTAAGGTCGTCGTCACATAATCAAGTAACTAATTGAAGAGGAGAAAGAGATACACAAAAATTAGACACGTATCAGCAAACACAATTAGAAGCAAACTCCTAATTATGTCTATTGTGTGTTCTTAACAAAGAAAAAAGTTGAGGTCATGTCTTTTAGTCATAGGCAATTTTTTTTTTTTGCAAAGGCTGGAAATTCATTTCCTTCCTGCCAAATAGCATGTACTGGGCACAAATGGAGTTCCAGAACTTTTACATGAATAAATGAAATGCCTTAAGGAAGTGAAACTATTTTCCTTTTCCATTGTCCCACTTAATAGCGTGTCTTTAAAACACAAGCTGCCCAAGCACAGAGCCAAAGACTCAAATGTTTAGACATTCTCCATCTACACATTTGTTCGGTTTGCTACAGTCAACCCACTAAACACAGGATTTGCTGTCACATTTCAGTTCCTTTCTACTGAATCATTTGTATCCACTACTGTACGGAATTTGTAGATTGGTTATCCTTCCAAATAAGCGAAGTTGCATGTACTTGCAATGCTTGCTTCTAAAAATAATGCTACTTTAGTTTAGAATTATCTAGAATGAGGAAGCAGAGAACTCTTTCAGCAAAATGAATATGAACCTCAGGTGCGAATCTATACTGATTTTTATCTATAACAACACCTGTTACCATATTATTTTCTGTTGCCGTCCCCTGTAATATGCTTTTGATCCCTATGTGCTCATAGGGCAATACAACAGTATTCCTGCAACATCTCCTGCCCAAGATGGAGCAATTATGCAACACCAAAACCCTGACCTTCACCCAGCATGTTTTTCAGTATTAAATCGACACTGACTGCACCATTTTGAAAATCCACAGCAACATTTCAGAGTCTGTAGAACCCAAGCGCACCCAGTCAGTTCCACGGCTTAAAGAACGAACATCCACCACAACTACTTTTACAGAAGGGGTTCTAGTCATTGAAATCTATCCCTTTTTTCTACCAGCGTACACTTACAGTCAACAGTGATCAACTTGCTGTTATTTAGTAAGTCTAATTAAATAGTCTTGTCGTTTCACAGGTGATTTGGAAAGCGGTTCCCTAAATTAGACAAATGTTGATGTGTTCGTTGATGTTCACCTTATAAATGAAGGAGGACAATCACTGGAATGTTTTGCTTTTCTATAGATGGTTATAAAGACTTAAGTGAGAATACTGCATCTATGGTATTATAAACAAGCTAATGAATTAGTTACTTGAGAGTGGCCCTGAAGAGAAGGATTTGAGGGTGGTTATAGATGAGAAGCTCACCATGAGCCGGCAGTGCGCTCATGCGGCCCAGAAGGCCAACCGCATCCTGGGATGTATCAAGAGAAGCATGGTCGGCAGGTCGAGAGAGGTGATTCTCCCCCTTTACTCTGCTCTTGTGAGACCCCACCTCAAATACTGCGTCCAGTTCTGGTGTCCTCACCATAAGAGAGACATAGATCTGTTGGAGTGTGATCAGAGGAGGGCCACAAAGATGATCCAGGGGCTGGAGCACCTCTGCTACGAGGACAGGTTGCGCAAGCTGGGATTGTTCAGCCTTGAAAAGAGAAGACTTCGGGGGGACCTAATAGCTGCCTTCCAATACCCGAAAGGAACCTACAGGAAAACTGGGGGGTGACTTTTTACAAGAGTGTCCACTGATAGGACAAGGGGAAATGGGTTTAAGTTGAAGGAGAACAGATTTAGATTAGATCTTAGGAAGAAATTCTTCAGTACGAGGGTGGTGAGACTTTGGAATAAATTGCCCAGAGAAGTTGTGGATGCCCCCTCCCTGGGGGTGTTCAAGGCCAGGTTGGACGGAGCCTTGAGTAGCCTGGTCTAGTTGAGAGGCGTCCCTGCCCATGACAGGGAGGCTGGATTAGATGATCTCTAAGGTCCCTTCCAGCCTATGCCATTCTATGATTCATGTCAGATAGAAGTGTACTCTTTTTCAACACGCACGACAAAGGTCTGGATGAGTGCTGTCGTAAGAGTAGAACAGAATAGAATCACTCGTGGTTTTTACTCACATCACAATTACTAAACTTCAGACTACAGTTCCACAAGCTCCGGCAGTTATCATCTCAACCTTTGACGAACACACAGAGTCTTCAAACTATAAAATGACCCCATGGAACGAACTTCTCAATGCCTTACCAGCACTCACTGGAGTTAAACAATCCAATGTGCACATGTATGACCAGTAACAGCACTGGCTGATGCTACTGCTGAGCCACAGAACTCTCCAGCTGCTGCCAGAAACACACCGCTCAACTGCCACTCCTTTCTGCCCAGCCTGCACCCACCACTTCTGATACATGACCATCACCTCTGGTCACAGTGGACCAACTAATGGGACAAAACCAGGTGGAAATAAGCTGAACACTTTTAGTGATTTAGATTCCTCCGTTAGTTTCCTGCGAGGTAACAAGAGTGCCAGGAGAAGGGAAGCACTGCAAGCACAGCTGATAGCAACACGCTTCTCTTTTAGCGACAGCAAGCCGCCGAAATTGCCTTATCCTTGAAAAAACCTCACACCAAAGGCACAACAGATCTTCTGGGACCTTCACAGTGGAGAAATAGAGAACTGATTGGAAAGAACGCTGCATACATTTTTTTCTGAGCCTCTCTGAAGTTACTTTTTTTCACCAATTTGCTTCTCCCCTTCTAGAAAAACATGCAATTAATGCATGTTTTGAAACAAGGTGCAGTGTTTTGGTAAAGTGAATTTCTACCCTGTTCTACAGAACATTCATTGTTTTCTCCACACAGGCGGATGAGAACGTCTGAAGCAAAAGTGAAAATCTTCAGAGGAGTTTTAAGTTGCCAACAAAACAACACCTTCAGAAGTTGGACTTCTGATTTCTGTTAAATAAACCAATGCATATGAAGAAATTCTTTATAGTTTGTGGCATGAGCATCACTGAACCCAGTTTCACAGGGGAACTGAGATTTTTTGCAAAGCTGACTTCACAGTAGTATATATTGATATGTCTGAGATACGATGCTTAATCTCAAAATGTTAGCTCTGCCTTGTTTGGTAGGTGCACATCAGAGAAGTATGTAACTATCAAAAACGTATTATAGAGATTTTTTGAGCTGGTGATTTCCAAACAACTTCTCCATGGGATGAAGTAAACTTCAAACAGGCTACATTTCAACTCTTACTTCTCCCCAAGCAATTTTAATTGTTATTCATGTTCGACTTACGTGTGATTTTACTTCAGTGTCATATATAAGACTTTCCCAAAGGCCATGGAATTCAGCTGCAAAAGCAACACATCATATATACCTGTTTAGGATAAATCAATCGGGGAACTTGTAACCTACCATTGCAGCACAAAGCCATTTTCAAATTATTGTCAACTAAAATTAGAGATTAAGAACAGACATCAGAGAGCCATTAAAATATATAGAAAAATAACATGAGTTATTTTACTCGAAATGCAAAAACTACTTTCTGACAGACAAGCTCAGCAGTTTCACAACTTCTGTTTCCTCAAAGAACTGTGATGAGAAATTAATGTTCTTAACATGAAAAAAAAATATCACTCTACTCTCAACAGGGGATGGAACTACATTTCTCCAAGAGCTATGAAAAGTTGGGGTGGGAAGAGGGTTCTAAGCAAAATTTTATCACTGAGCGGGTTTTTTTTGTTTGTGTTTGTTGTTTTTTTTTTGTTTTGTTTTGGTTTTTTTTTTAACGTCAACATGTAGAGGATGAAAAAAGCACGTAGCTGAATAATGCATAAAAACCCAAAGTTGTGATTTGGGTATCAATCATTTCTAGCAGTTAGTTTCTAGCTTTCAGCAAAGAAAAACAAAAAAGACTGAACAATTATAAACCACAGTAATATGGGAATAATGTCAAAATATCAGATTAAGTTCTTCCCTAGGAGAAATGTAAGATAGGTGTTTCACAACATGGAAAGAGCAAGAAACGTCTCAGAATCACTATCTCTTTGAGCTTAAGCTCACACCTGTACTTCTTGCAGGTGCAGAATGCAACTTCTCCAAGCACAGGGCAGTAACAGGCAGGCCATGCTCTACTGTGGTGCAAAGCCTTATTCTTCTTTTCAGAAGACACTCTGAGGACTCAAAATCTCTTTGTTTGTTTGTTACAAACACAAGAGCAGCACTGTCTTGGGGGCCAGAAGCCAGCAGCGGGCTCTGGAAAATGAATGTTTTAACAGACAAGTTTCTTGTGGGTCTCCCAATAAAAATTTAGAATGCAGCTTGCAGGGTTAAAAATTCGCATCCTTCTGACTATGACTACACATTTTATTCCACAAGGCCAGTTACTTCTACACATCCACAAGCGTTACAGAAATAAACGATGTGTTGGGGAATCACCTGTAGTAGTTCAGTCAAAACCATAAAGTCCAAATATATTGGTCCCATTGAAAAAGGACAAAGTAAAACAATTTATACAAATAACACCTTTAACAGGTAACCCTATAAACACTTTTAGCCTTTCCAAGATTTTCTTTCATTCTAATTGCTCTAGACCTTCCAGAAAAATCAGGAGTACCTGCTGGTAGCACCCAGTGGTTAGCTGCAATGATATCCTCATTCTCTTCTTCCAGGTTTTCAGAGCTTGGTCCTTCTTCATTCAGATGAAAAATGTGAAGAGAAAGACTGCTTTTGCTCAAGTCAATAGGCTAGAATGGACATAAAAATACTTTTAATATATTGTGTTTCTCATTCAAAGCTAATTACATACATAAGAAAGTTACAGTCCTCAGGTGGCATCCAGCTTTGAAGCCTACTACATCCTACTACAGCAGGAAGACCA